ACACACACACACACACACACACACACACACACACACACACACACACAGAGAGAGAGTTAGCTGCACTGGAGGAAAAAGGCGGTGCAGCCAAATGATATTGAGCCTCTCAACAACCGACATTCAGACTCATCACGTCACACGATCTCTTAACTCTCTTCCTGGAACTTGCGTCTGAGTGTTTGTCGTGTAGATCTTTATGAACAGGATAAAGCTTTATTATCCATGTTTGCAATCGATTTCAATGTTCATGTAATAAAACACCTCGATGAAAGTACATTGAATTTACTGCATTCACATGTTCCTAATAAATTCACCTGTTTGACCAGAAACTAGTAAATGTGTCATAGATCCATTGTTCTACTTTGTTGATGTCACTGTGTTAAAGGTTTATTCAGATCACGGTAAGCTCATCTTCTTATGGTTCTAGAAGTTTTTACTTCACAAGTCCCCTCCCCCATTCATAATGCCACTTTTCATCACAACGTCTTCATTAATCACCAGAAACAGAGGAGAGCCAGTTAACTGATTGGCTGCTGCTCCAGACTGAAATGGTAACGTGAAAGACAGAATGGTTTCCAAAAAGTTTGAAATGATACATTTTGAAAAGAAGCAGCTCAATGAAATTGAAAAAAAACATTTTGCTTATGTAAACAAAACAGGATGAAATATATGATATAAATATTAAATATTTCATAGTTAAATCATATGGAGTGTCAGAGTTAGACAGGGAAATAGAGGCAGACGAGAGCCACAGTGGAGGAGCTCCGAGTGTCTGCTTTGTATCTGCCCTTTTGGTGACACAAACAGGAAGTGCCTGCTCCTGGTCTCAGTGAGATTGTGCCCTCAATACAGTGAGCATGGTCGTTCTGTGTACATGTCAGTATGCACATGCTCATATTTTAGCATGCGTTATCATAAGCCTTTATGTATTCAAAATTGAACAATGATAAAACCACACATGTTTGAAATGACCTCAGCACCTGCAGGTATTTCCCTAACATACTTTATCTTGTATGTGTCCAGTATCATAGCCTCGATGTGGCCTTCACTCTGAAAAGTCTCCGGATGTGAGTCACTTGTGTACTGAAAACCAAAGGTCCTTGAATACAACTGCGCTGTTGGAAATGAAACAACTGCTGAAAGTTTCTTCCTCACATCCTTGGGAGCAGGTCATCTACGGTGTCTATTTGATGACGACAATCTCATAGAGAGAAATGAGAAAACTAGTTACAACACAGACATTTTACCAACATCAAGGCATCCTGCACTCAAGGTTCAACCGGGGCTTCCACTGTGTAGAAATTCCACAATGTAAGCAGTGATATTTGAGAAGCGATAACTTATCAGAGTGTTGAATTATCCACTCAGAGTCAGATGGAAAAGCTTGAGTGCCCTAAAGGACTGTAAAATAACCAGCCAGGCAGTTAATGCTCTTTGGCAAACATGAGGATGATGACGGCTCTGGTGTCAGAATCATAACAGAGGGGAGCAATCACTTCAGTGTCACACAAATAAATGAAAGTTGACTGATTTTAGTAAAGACTTATGTTTGCACTCCTTTTTTTTTTTTTACCTCTATCACAGACCTTTGTTTGCACAGCCACACTGAGCACAGCAGGAAAAAAAGAGCCGAGCATTTCAACAGCAGCATACTGAAAAACGTGGGCAAGAGGAGATAACGCGGGAGTAGGTGGCAAAATTGAAAACGCTGCACTTATATCAATAAAAAACAGATAACCTGGAGACAGCAAACCAGTGTAACAGAAGGGAAAACAGATTCTCTCAATGCCATGTGGAAGTCAACCCAGATAAAAAAATACTACACATGTTTACTGTAACCATGAAGTAAATCCATAGACTGTATATAAGAAAGGGTTAAGGGAAATCACCCATTAGTTTGGTATATGGCCGTTTTGAAGCCTCGAGTTTGGAATTCGTCCGTCGCCATCTTGGTTATTGGCCGTCGCCATCTTGTTTTTTTGCAACCAGAAGCGGCGTGAGGGGGTGGAGCTAAACACAACCGGCCGCTGAATAAAACATTTTTTGGCTACCAAAATGTTACAATTAACTTTGATGAAATGAAAACACTGAAAGGGTTCAAGTTCTAAGACGAAAACACGGACAACTCCGTGGTAGCAACCTGTCAATCACAGTAGCCCCGCCCTAAAGCATACCCTGCTTTATGGTCTATTTGACTCTAAATGGACCATAATGTACTAAATGAACATCATGCTGTACTGAAGAAGACTTGAAACTAGAGATTGAGACCATAAACTCATGTTTACAATGTTTACTGAGGTAATAAGTCAAGAGAGAAGTAGAGTCATTTTCTCATAGACTTCTATAAAATTGGTCTTCTTTGTGCAACCAGAAGAGTCGCCCCCGATGGCCACCATGGGATCTAAGTTATTACAACTCATCTCGAGGGGAACATGAATGTCTGAACCAAATTTCCTGGCAATCCATCCACTAGTTGGTTGAGATTTGTTGTTTTGTTTGAATGTGGTGGACCGATCGACTGTCATCAGAGCCATGCAGCTCACGTGGCTAAAAAGGCACAAACTGCAAACCTATATGTGATTGCAAAGCCAGAATAAGAAACAATGAGTTCTTAATGAATTGACAGACCTTTGGGTGAGATATTTTGAGGGATCCATCGACCTGACAGTTTCACCCCCGATACCAACAGCGATACCGGCCTTTGGCCGAGTCCGACTATCCATCCGATACCAGTGTTAAATGAATAAACCGTATGCCTCGCTGTGTGGAGACTGGATCATTCTTTTAAGTGTAAGGCAACATCAAGCTTGACTAACACATTCCTTTCTTGACTTTTTAAAACTAAATACAGTATAACAAGTAAATACATAGATATACATTTATTAAATTCTTATTTATTATTAAAATAATAAATTGCACACTAACATCTTTAAAATCTACAGGAATTTAGCTGTGAAACTTGAATGCAGCAACAGATTGGTCAAAACAACTTAACAGAATGCATCAGGAAATAGTGACAAATGGCCATCCCAGTTTCTCAAAGTCTTTAAATATCTTGTTCTGTCAGTCCAAATTGCGATAATAATGCCATCGGTGCATCCCTAGTTTTCTTTGGGCACAACAAGTCCTCTATCCTATGATGGAAGGTGAAACGTCATAACTGCAGGGTTGACTTTACACCATTTATCACACTAACTGCTGTTTAAGGTGCTGCTGCAGCGACGTGATGACAACTGGCTCTTCACTAATGGAATCCGTGACCATGACCCTGTCCACCGCTACAACACACATAAACTCACTCACTCACTCATGAAGCTGTAATTCCTGACCCGCTGTGCCCCATCACCTGTTATGTTACACTCCATTTCCAGTCTACACACACACCCACACCCACACACACAGCGATGAAACCACTTCGCCGCTCCTGATGACATGCTCAGCCAACTACCAACCCATTTGTCTGATGACCTGGATTTACATTTTTTTTGTCAGACTTGGTTTGCATCAGATGGTAAGGGGATAAATGTAGGCATGAAACAATGACCGAAATATCAAGATGTGTGTGTGTGTGTGTGTGTATGTGTTAAAAATAAAACAGGAGCTTGCATATGTACTGTACTATATATTTGACAGCTGACTCTAAAATGAGTAGGCACTGGTGAGTGACAGAAAACTCTTGTGTACCTCTCAGGGCTGCTGTTCACAATGCCAGATAGCGCGGGCTGCTTTGGGCGAGGCGTGGTGGATCTAAACATTTACGTAGCTTTGCTCAGCTCAGCACGAGCGAAACTGTTTTACCGTCGCCTATTAGGAACCTTACTACCAGGCCGTGCCTGTGACTGTGAAATATATTCATTTTTTACTATAGTTGCATAAACTATACAATCGTTTATAATTGAATGACTATTGGAGAATTAAAGAAACCATAAACCATACCTAATTAACACTAAACACTAACTAAACCAAAAGTGCTACAAAGGAGAAAATCAAGAGACCTCAAGG